TGTTTGCTTTGTGTGTGTGTGTGTGTGTGTGTGTGTGTGTGTGTGTGTGTGTGTGTGCGGGTGAAGCACAAGAAGTCTTGAGCATCAGTTTTGCTGACGTCAGCATTTTCCCCAAACGGCGCACACAAGAACACAAGAGCGCGGAGATGGAGGGGATGGGCCAAACAACGATGATGCTGGAGGAGGACAACACCAGCACAGCTGATCAGCGACCACAACAACAAGAAGAACAAGAGGAAGCCATGCAGCAAGCCATGGATGCGCTGTGGACAGGGCTGCAGCACAGGGTTGCCGCATCGCGCCGGCGTCGCCAGCAAGGCATCGACGTACGTGCATGAAGAGAGGGTGTGTGTGTTTGTGTGAATGTTTGAAGGATGATGCCGTGCGATGACACACACACACACACCCACACACACGCTCACACACACTCTCTCATTCACTCTCACATTCACACACACACACATACGCTCACACACACACACACACACACTCACACACACACTCTCTCGCAGTGGCATCAAGCGGTGGTGGAACAAGGGCGCCACGTTCTTGCTGCTGCGCAAGCATGCAAAAGCCTGACTGCCCCAGTACCTCTGCAACAAGAACACGTGCAGTTGCTGCTCTCGATCTTGACCAAGATGCAACCGCAAGGTGCATTTTACACACCCCCCCCCACACACACACACACAAACACACACAAACAACACACAGGCATCGCTCTTCTCCACGTGTTTGCTTTCGCCTGCTACAGCAACGCTCCTGCACAACGACTGCCCTTCACACAACACGCACACTTACACACACACACTTTCACACACACACACTTACACACACACACACACACTTACACACACACACACACACACACGTACACTTACACTTACACACACTCACGCAGGTGCCCCGTCGAGCCAAGCGCCTGCGATTGCGATTGCGATTGCAAAGATGCTGGTGCGCCATGTGGAGCGGCCGTCCAGCAACCGCCTGCACTCGTGCCTGGCAGACACACAATCAGCACAAGGGCTGGTGGCATGCGCAGCGTTTGCGTCGCTGCATCAGCTGTGCCGTGATGTGCTGTCCGCTGCCAGCATGCAGGATGCAGACCAAGGGAGGCTGCTGTACTTGTGCCTTCGTCTTCGCATCCTCTGCAACCTCGCCTGCTTGCATCAGGACGTCCACACGGACTTTTGCGAGCGTCAGTTCTGCATCAATATTTGTGCTGTGTGCTGGTTGTGTGTGTGTGTGTGTCGTGTGTTAGGTTGCTGGTATGCTCAAACCCATCGTCAATTGCATCGCATCCTTCACACACACACACGCACATACGACACACACACACGCGCGCGTGCACACACACACGCACACACACACACACACATACACACAGGGGATCTCGGGCGCGTGCTAGCGCTGCTGCTGCGCCTCGCATCATCTCGACATCAACATCTCGTGTTTGAGGTGAGGTGACATGATGTCACGTTTTGCTCAATCCCGCCTCTTCCAACGCGTTGACATGCTCAACACGCACACGTGCACGCGCGCGCGCACACTCATACACGGCCTTCCCGTTATGCTCCCCCGTCCCGCCGCCTTCACCTCCCCCCCCCCCCACCACACACACACAGCCGCTGCGGGCCATCAACCAGGCAGTCATTGCGTGCAACTCCGTATCACTCAGTCGGAGACTGCGTACACTCCGCTATGCGTTCATCCACACGCAACTCTTTGTCAAATGTGCTTCACAACGCGACTACACAGCGGGTGAGCAGCTGTAGACGCACGCGCGCGTGTGTGTGATTGCTTGTGTGTTCGAGTGTTTGATTGTTTGCATATGTGCGTGTGTGTGTGTGTATGCGTGTATGTGTGATTGCACCTTGTCCACACACGCCCCCTTCCTGGCCGTGCCAGCCCTCACATCTTCATCATCATCATCATCATCATCATCATCATCATCATCATCATCATCATCATCATCATCATCATCATCATCATCATCATCATCATCATCATCATCATCATCATCATCATCATCACCATCACCGTTGCCACACCAATCGCCCTCGCTTCCTCATCGCACCGTCTTCACGACTGTCACACACCAGCGCTGGCCGCCATCAAGCGGGATCTGCGTGCAGTGGAGAAGGAGGCCGTGTCCGCACTGCTCTTCTGCTACGAGTCATTTCCCTCCAATTCCATCCGAGCCATGCTGCCCATCGCGCCACGCATCCTCGCCGCCACCGCCGCAACCCGCTCTGCAACCAACGCGTCTCCATCAACAACAGCACCAACAGCAACAACAGTTGGCAGTTCCGCACTGGCAATGACACGTGCAACCGCCAGGCCGACAGCAGCTGCTGCGCTGATGGCAAAGCACAGCTCCCACCTCTCCCTGCGCAAGCCGCAACACACGTCCTCCACATCGTCGGCTGCCTCAATCGCCGCTGTCACCGCACCCGTGTCGCCGTCACATCGGCGCGTTTCAACGAGCGGCAGCACATACACGACGTCACCGCTCTCCTCTCCATCACGCACCAACCACCACCACCACCACCAGCACCACCAACAGCAGCAGCAGCAGCACCACCACCACCACCAGCAGCAATCGCATGGGCAACCGTCGTTTCAGGCAGCGGCACGCACAGCGTTCGCCTTTCCTGATCAGGAAAGCGACAGTGGGGCTGCTGATGACACTGATGCAGATGAGGAGTGGAATGCGCGGGTGAAACGCACGCGTGCGGAAGATTTGGCGCGCGTCATGACGCAACACACAGCGTTTAGGTTTCTCACGTCCTTGTTTCACGCGTCCATCTTCATGGAGGGCCGGAGGTCCACACCAACAGCAACAGCAGCATCCCAAGTCGCACCAGCCCCGCTCCTCACTTTCGCAGCCGAGATTATCACGTGCGTGCTTGATTTGCGTGTGTTTTGCGTGCGTGTGTTTGTGTGTGTACGTGTGTGTGTGTGTGTGTGTGCGTGCGTGTGTGTGTGTGTGTGTGTGCGTGCGTGTGTGTGTATGCGTGCGTTTGTGTGTGCATGCGTGTGTGATGTATTGGTTTATGTACTGATATTTCCGCGTTGCACGCTCACTTCCTCACTCCCTCCCCCTTCGGTTCATGCTACCCATAACGTTTCTCCACCAACCACCACGTTGCAGCATCATTGCCCGCTGGTCGGTCAACACCGCGCTTCAAGTCATCGCAACAAATGTCAAGACTCTGCCAAAGCCGCAACAGCAGGTGCCACTTGCTGCAATGCCCCTGCGTTTTCCACCCTGCTCCATGCCAATCACGTGTGTCGGCAATGCATGCTTGCAAGCACGCTCGATTGCTTCTACTCACATCACGATCCCTTCACCGGCTGCGACACCACTCCAGGCAGTGCTGACGCGGCTCCTGCTGAACCAACTCCACTCATCGTCATCGTCATCAGCATCATCAGCGGTGTCGAATGAGACGGCGGTGGCGATGATTGAGGCGCTCTCCCTCTCGCTTCACGTCTGCATCCGCACCAAGAACGTCACCATCACAGGCGGTGAGTCATCGGAAACGTCATGGCAACGGTAGTGGTGGTGGTGGCCGCGCGTGTGAGAGATTGGTTTGCTTGGTTTGTTTGTTTGTTTGTTTGTTTGTCTGTTTGTTTGTTTGTTTGTTTGTCTGTTTGTTTGTTTGTTTGTTTGTTTGTTTGTTTGTTTGTTTGTTTGTTTGTTTGTTTGTTTGTTTGTTTGTTTGTCTGTTTGTCTGTTTGTCTGTTTGTTTTGTTTGTCTTCCTTCATCACGCCATGTCTTGCACTCACACCCCACACCCCACACCACACACCCCACACCCCACACACCACACCACACACTCCTGCTCCTCCAAACCAACCCCCCCCCCTCTTCAGACGTGGTTCGTCTGCATGGGCAAGTGCTGCACGCGTGGCGATTGTGGCAGCTGCCTGCCTTCCGCCCTCACCTCTCACGCTACGAAGCCGTCGTGCTGGAGGCCCTGATGATGCTCACGACGCACGAGAACGCAGCTGGCTCACGGACAACCACAACCACAACAGTGCCTGCAAGCACAGCGTCCGCGTCACCAACAACAACGCCGTCCCCACGAGAGACAACAGAGCAGCCGGCCACGCAATCGACCTCATCCACACCATCGGCCACCAATGCCATCTCATCATCATCATCACCACCGCCGCCACCGTCGTCGTCATCATCGTCGTCGCAGTCACGCGTGACGCTGGCTTCGGCCGACACGTGTCGCCTGCTTCTGCTGCTGGAGCCGTGTCTAGCAGCGGACCGAGCACAGCGGGAAACAGCATTACTGAGTCCCCGTCGCCTGCGCGCGCTGCTGAGCGTTGATGATGACGATGTGCTTCGCCTGATCATCATTCGCCTCGCTGACCTTGATGAAATGCGCGCCATCGCCGCCCTCACCACCACCGCAGCCCACATGCTGCAGCACAGTGCGTTCGAGGAGGGGCGAAGTTGTGTGCGTGCGTGTGTGCGCGTGTGTGCGTGTGTGTGTGTGTGCGTGTGTGCGTGTGTGTGCGTGTGTGTATGTGTGTGTACGTGCTCGCGAGTGTGTGAGGGATACGTGTTTGTGTACGTTTGAATAAGTGTGTTGGATGCTTGTGCGCGTGCATGTGTGTACTAGTCTTCTTCTTTTCCCCCTCTCTCTGTTCTCATTCCTCTCTTTTCACGGCCGTAACGCACTCTCCCCTCCCATCTCTTCTACACACATTCTCCCCCCCCCCTTTTCCTTCACCGTCGCTTGCACACATGGCAGGTGATGTGCTCAATGCCTGCAAGCAGCGGAAATCGCTGGAAAAGTGCATTTCTGTGCTGGTGGCTCTCGTGCAAGGCCAACACACTGCCAGCCCTGTCTCCAATCCCCCGCACGCTGGCAGCGTCATGGCTGTTGCCGTGCAGGTGCTGCTGCTGTTGTTCCCACAGCAGGAACGCAACAGATGCAGCGGTGGTCAGAACAGCAACAACGACATTGGCAGCAACTTTGACAGCAGTCATGTGAGCAGCGATGGCAGAGAGTTTTGCGTGCTCCAGCAGCTGTGCTTGCACCTGCTCCGGTTGAGTGCGCTGCACGTGTGCACGTCGGCGTCGGACGCGCCATCGTCTCCGCATCCCCGCGCCGCCGTGTCCGCTGTTGTCGACGCCCTTGCCGTGCTCTTGTCCTGCGATGCACGCGAGATGACCTCCACTCCATCGTCATCTGCACCATCAATGGCCACGCCAACGGCGATGCGTGTGCGCCCGTTGCATGCAAGCACGCTACCGCGGGATGTCATTTTGGCCGTATGTGCCATTGTGGTGTCGCCAACTGCCCAACTGTCAGCGTCATACGAGCAGCAGCAGACGCTGCTGGACAGAGCTAAGTGGCTGCAGCACAACAGCGCCAGCATCAACCTCTCGTGGGAGGAAAGCAGTGACAATGAACACGATGACAATGACAATATCGACGTGTCCTCGCTCACTGGTGTGTGTGTGTGTGTGTGTGTGTGTGTGTGTGTGTGTGCCTGCTTGTGTGTGTGTGTGTGTGTGTGTGTGTGTGTGGTGCGCACGGGGGCTCACGCTGTTGTTTCAACTTGCACCGCTTCTCACATGCTGCTGGTGTCGCTGTCGTTTCACAGAGGGAGGAGCCGTTCTGCTCGTTTGTCTCCTGCACGCGTGTGCACCATTGCTGCAAGCACACGCACGCAGCGCCGTCACCATGGATGGTATGGCGATTCATTGCGGGTTAATGACAAGACTTTTCACATCATGCACTTTGCATCGCGCCTCCTCTCCTGTTGCTGCTCACCCTTTGTTCACGTCTCTCTCCCCACCCCCACCATCACCATCATCATCACCGACACCCACCATCACCACCATCATCACCGTCACATCTACAGCCATCTCCATGCTGCTGCGCGTGCTGGCTGCGGCCGTGCCCCTCCTGCACACATGTGCACTTGTGCCACTTATCGAAACCATTGGCGGTGCGTATGTGCATGTGAATGTGAACACTGAGGAGATGTGAGCTGTGTTTGCTCATTTGTGTAACTGCTCGCTTGTTCATCTATGTGCCTATTTCTCGCTCAACAACACACGCGCCCTCGCCCACACCCCGTTGTCCCTCTGTGTTCAGATACGCTGTGCTGCGAGTATGCACCTGTGCTTGCGTGCCCGCGCCACCACTGCCACACCGCTGCGACCGCCCTTCTGTGCGCGTGTGTGCACGTCTCCGTCTCGCCGCGTGCTCTGCACTCGCTCCTGTCGCTCCTGGACAGCAGGTGGCCAACAGCCTCCAACATCGGTATGTGTGTGCTCGTGTACACTTGTGTTTTGTTTTGTATGTATGCGTGTATACATGTGCTGGCACTTGTGTGTGGTTGTGGGAGTCTCGTGTTTGCTAACCGGGTTCCCCCACAGCTTCCCTCTCAACCACCTTGATTATCCGCTCACCATCAATCATCAATCATTCCTTCATCACGTCTTCGTCGCCCCCTTCAACGCCAACGCAACACCAATGCCTCTGCACTTGTGCCAGACTGCCTGGATGAAGTAGCCCACCATCTTGTCCACGAACCACAGCACTTTCTCTCCTTCCCAGCACAAGGTGGCTCGTGTCTCCATGTGTATGTGCGCAAGCTACATGTGTCTCTGTGTCCGTGTGTAGGCGCCTGTGTGTCTGTGCATGTGAGCACATGTGTGCATATGTGCATGGGGAGACACATGCACATCTCCCGTTCACATGCGATCACTCATCCATCACCACCACCAACAACAATCCCTCACCCCACATCACTTGTCAGCCTCCCACGGCATGCGTGTCGCCCCCTCCACCCCAACGCGGCTGGCATGCGAGGATGGGCACACCCTCATGGCGTGGGTGAAGCTCGGATCCCGACCACCACCAAACACGCCGCCCACCACCATCCTCGAGATGACAGCCACAACCGACGCAAGCAACAGAGGCAGTGGCGTTGCAGGGACGCGTGTGCACGATGGTGATTGCTTCCACGTCTCAATCGCTTTTGGTGCCGACGGACGGCTGATGTATCGGCTGATGGTCAACAACAACGTCATTGCTCAGGTGAATAATGCTTGAAAGCGCACATGTGCAGCACGTGTGTATGTGTGTGTGTGTGTCACTTGAGGCTTTCGCGTGAATGTCCGTTCTATCTGCACCTTCCCTTCACACACACACACACACCCTTACACACACCCTTACACACACCCTCACACCCTTACACACTCACACCCTCACACCCTCACACCCTCACCCTCACACACACACGCACACACTTGCACCCTCACTTACACCCTTTAGGAGACGTTTGTTGATGGGGCGGTATCGCTGCACGAGTGGCATCACATTGCAGTGACACACGAGCGAAGCGATGTCGTCGCCCTGTTTGTGGATGGCTTTCTTGTGTCCACAGCAACAGTTGCATATCCACCGTTCCTGCCTCCGCCACGCCCCAACGCAGGTGCAGCTGCGAATTCACGCGTCCGCACACCCCACCTGTCGCAGTTGTCCGTGCTTTCAAGCACTGCACAGCCCGAACACGCTCGCGACTCGGCTGCTGGAAGCATGCGCAGCCGCGATGCTGGCGAGGACACGGTGTCACATCTCACTACATCAGCGGCATCAACAACAGCAGCCGCATCAGCCACCACCTTCAGTGGCAGCAACAACAACATCCCCGCAGGTCCAATTGGGCAAGACACGCGCGCACATGCGCCACTATCGGCGCAGGTATCACAGCTGTGCGTTGGACTGGCGTTTGTGCTCACTGCACCCATCACGGCCGCGCAGGCACACGCCGTGTACATGCAGGGACCAAACCACGTGTCGTTTGGCGCGTGCGATGCAGCCCGCACGGAGGACGTGCTGGCGAGTGGCCACCACCTCATCGCCACGTCGCTCAACCGCCTATTGAAGCACCATCGTGTCGCATCCCTCCGCGCCCTTCAGGCCGTCATGTGCGAACCTCCGATGATGGACGACCCATTCGACACCACCCAAGGTCAGCCACCCGTGCGATGACATGTGCAACAGTTTATCTTTGGATGTGTGCGTGTGTGTGTCTTTGTGTGTCTTTGTGTGTGTGCGTGTGTCTTTGGATGTGTGTGTGTGTCTTTGTGTGTCTTTGTGTGTGTGTGTGTGTGTGTGTGTGTGTCTTTGTGTGCGTTTTTTTGTGCGTCTGCATGCGTTGTGGGTGTTCCTGAGTGTGGTTTTCAAGAGCTTCAAAACCAGCGCCTCGCCCTCACCTTCGCCACCTTCACCATCGTCACCTTCCCTCTCCTGTGTTGTAGGTGTGAAGACGTTGCGCGAGCTCGTGCCACGGATTGCGTGCATGCTCAAACCGTCAGAGGACTGTGCGTTCTTCAACCAGAGCAATGTTCTCGTTAAGCAGGTAAGCAACCCACCCCCCTCCCTTGTTGGGGTCTAGATGGCTGTTGTGCTTGCTGTGTACTGCGTGCCTTGTTTGTTTGACGTTGGGAACGGCTGGCTAGTCGTTCAATCACACAACCGAGACAACACACACGCATATCACACAACATACACGTGTGCTAACAACTCATTTCTTCGTGCCGTTGGTGTTGCTGTCGCCAGACCATCTCGGTATCACCACAATGGCGGTGGATGACAAGAACGACGTTTGCCGCGTCAAAACAGGACGAAAACGTCACGTCCACGCAAGAATCGACACAATCACACACGCAGAAACAACAACAGCAACAACGAGCGCGTGGGAGCACCGTGACGACCACGACAACACTCTCGTCGTCGTCCTCATCCACCGTCATCACAGCACCGACCGCCGCCACGTTTGTGGGGGGTGGCGCTACATGGGATGTGTTGTCAAGGCTCCGCACCCTTCATCATCACCACAGCAGCAGCAACAACATGCCCTCTGCAGCAGCAGCAGCAGCAGCAACGACGACGTCCAGAGGGGTGGCTGCTGCTCCAATGACCAGTGCACCTGTGCGAGTGACGCGCTCTCAACTCACGGATTCGCTCGTGCACATTGGCGGTCTTCCGCTCCTCTTCTACGCACTCGGTTTGTTTTGTGCTCTTTTGCTTGCCTGCAGGCACACGTGTCTCTGTGTGTGTGTGTATGTGTGTGTGTGTGTGTGCTTGTGCGTGAGTGCTTGATGAAGTGTGTGTGTGCTTGATGAAGTGTGTATGTGCATGTCTGTGTTTGTGTGTCTGTGTGTGCGCCATACGCCACGCCAATTTGTGTGCTCGCGCTTTGAAAGCCTTGTTGTGTGCCACCTGTTCATTTTAGTGCCACTGTTTATGTTTTGTGCACGTGCACTTTCCACCAGGCGCCGCTGGCCCGTGTGAACGCACGCAGAGCAGTCTCGTTCGCACCATCATCAACGTGCAACAAAAGGTAAGGGTGCAAGTTGTTATCCCTAGCTATGTTTGATCCCTTTGCGTTGTAAGGCTGCATCTTTGATAAAATCACACTCACGCAGGCAAGCGCAAACACACACACACACACGCACTCACGGACACACTCACACACGCACACACTTACACACACACACTCACGGACACACACACACACACACCTGTAACCCATCTCCATGCACTCTACCTCCCCCCACCCCCGCGCAGAACACGATGCTGAGCAACGAGTTCAAATCCCTTCGCGGCCTCCACTTGCTGGCGGATTTCCTGCGCAGTCCGCGCGCAGTCATCAGCGACGCAATGCTCGATGCCATCGTGGGCGGTGCAATGTGCATGCAATCACCAATGCCGCTACACACGCGCACGTGCACCGCTTCCTCTTCTCCCTCTCCTCCTTCTGGTGGTGATGGCAACACCGACAACGCCACGCCTGCGAGTGCGAGTGTCAACATGCAAGATGGCGACAGCAACGTTGACGACACGTGCGAATGGCGCAGCGTCACGCACGTGGAACGAGGCATTATGGTGCAACCGTCCATCATCAAGCACTGCTTGCTTGATTTCCGCATTTGGAGGCGCGCGCGTGTGAGCACGTGGTGTCGCACGCTTGCCCTCTGCACCGCCTTTATCTCCCCATCGCACTGCAAATTCCACACCCTGAACCTCCTCCAACTGAGGTACGATTGTTGCTCTTGTGGTTGCTCTTGTTGCTCTTGTTGTTGCTCTTGTCGTCATCATCATGGCCGTCTGTTGTCACGTGTCAATAGCAACCGCGCTTGCGCCAACCTTGCACGCGATTTGAAGTTGGTGTGCTCACGGTTGCACGTTGCACGAAACACACGCGTATCTTTGACACCCGTGCACTCACCCTGCTTCCCTCACCACCTCCGTGACCTGCACCCACCAGGTCTGTGAATGTGGTGGAGCGGTGTTTGATGCGGTGGCAAGAAGACGACGACCTCCGCTGGCCGGGCGCTGTTGCTCTGCGCGCTGTTGCGTTTATCAATCACGCGCTCGCCGGCGCTGAGGAGACGGCCGAGGACCTGCGCTCCCTCATGCAGTTCCTCATCGCCACACACAAGTCCCGCCGCACGCAGGTGTGTGTGTGTGTGTGTGTATGTGTGTAAGTGTGTGTGTGTGTGTGTGTGTGCTTGCATTCTTTGTACGTTAGTTTCTTTGGGTGCACTGTGTATGTGTACATGTATGCGTCGGCTGCTTCGTGAATCGACAAGTTCATGATACAAGTCACCTATTCCTCTCTACCTCCCTTGCACATCCTTACCCCCCCCCTCCCCAAAAAAAATTGCCCTCCAGGTGCGCACGCAAACGGTTGCGCTGTGCGGACGAATGCGCCGGCGAAAGAGAAGAAATCGCCGCAGTCGATTCTCATCCACGCCAGCAGCACCGAGTGGCACGACCACCGCCGCCGCCCCCTCCGCCTCCATGACGTCTGCAGTTGGGAGCAATACCGCCACGACCAGCAACAGCAGCACCCATGCCAACGCTGGTGTGCGTACCGCAACCACACACGAGCTGGTGTCTGCCGCATCCATGCCTGTGCTCACACACGCAGACACACCTGAAAACACGCCACCGCAGTCACCATCGTCCTCCACCACATCATCGACAGGCAAGGTGTCGTTGCACCACCACCGCCACAGCCGCCGCAGCAGCGACAGCCACATGAGCAGCCTGCAGATGCCATCCCTCATCGAGGTGTCCGAGCTGGGCGATGACGATGATGACGATGATGACGATGACGACTACGGTGAAGGTGACATGGACGATATGAAGGTTGGTGATGGCGGTTGCAAGGGCGACGATGTGGTTGCGGTCACGAAGACCATGGATGCAGCCGAAGTCACAGCGCTTGCGCAACCCGACACGATGTCGCACCCTGACCACACCAACAACAACAACAACAACAACAACAACAACAACAACAACAACAACAACAACAACAACAACAACAACAACAACAACAACAACAACAACAACAACAACAACAACAACAACAACAACAACAACAACAGCTCTGTATCTGATGTGGTGACAGACGCCAACGATGCCCCCATTCTTCGTCGCAGCGGATTTGATATGGAGCGAGATGTGGATCGAGACATCTCTCGTGTTGTCGAGCAGCAGGACGATGGTGATGACAGCGCCGAATGGGGCGAGCCACCACGGCTTACGCCCGACGCGGAAGGTGGTGGCGGTGATGCGCTAAGTGATGCAGCAAGCAGCGTGTCTGCGTCCACTTCTGCCAGCGCGGGTGGCGTGCAGATTGTTGTGCACGACGCTGCTGAGCGCCTGGCTGCGTCCCCGCTGCACACAGAGGCGGCATACGCGCTGACTCGTGAGGACAGTAATGGCAGTGACGCTGCTGGCACACACGCGCAGAGCGTGACTGAGAGCGATGCGCTGTCGTCGTCGCTGCCGTCGGTGACGCATGACACGCATGCACACCCACACGAGCAGCACAGGCACGCTGTCTCCAGCGGCGATAGTGCCGGTGTATCACACCCACGCAGCCCGTCAACGTATGGCGAATGGGTTGCGCAGTTGGCAGCGGCACCCACCGCCCTCGCATCGCCACGGCTGGGGTTGCTCGGTGTCCTGTACCGGCGCGTGCGTGCCCTTCTTAACGCATCGCTACCGGAAGACATGATCCCGGCAGCAGCGGCAGCTGGCAGCAGCCGTGATCTTGCTTCCAGTTCAACGCCAGACACCTCTGCCTCCACACCGCCCACCACAGGCACAAATCCCACCACACCCACACCACTAGTGGCGGAGCAGCTTCCGCGTGACGCGGGCGAATTTGTCCGGGAGTCAATCAACGCCGTCCTGCGCCCACCCGTCCTGCTCGCTCTTGCCAACAGCACATGTGCGGCGACGCGCCTTGCCGCTGTTCGCCTCATAGCGCTTGCCGTGCACCACCGCCTGCCAAGCATGCGCAGGCTTCTCCACCGCACCAGCAGCGCCAGCATGAATACCAAGAGCGGCAATGACGACAAGGAGGGTGGCGTGCACTCACTGGACAGTGTAGACGGAAACGGCCTTGCCCTTTTGGCGCTTCAGCTGTCGTTGCACTCCATCACCGATGAGATTGCAGCGGCGACGCTCGATTTGTTTGCAGACGTGCCGGGCAACAATGACCACAGCATCGGCAGCAACCATCCTGCTGCCGTGGTGCTGGCTGGAGACACCCATGCTGACCGCGAACGTGCTGCATTCAATGCAGGCGTTCCTCAACACAACAGTGACGTAGGCTGGGGCGTGCGGGAGCTGGGCGAGGACATCACGAACGCAAACACGTGGGTGCAGCATGTTGCACACCTCATGTCGACAGCATCAAGCGCGCACGCGCACGCCTCGGGCCCCAGCACCACCACCACTGTCCACAACAGCAACAACTCCCACGGAAGCAAACTGAACGCCACGAGCCAATCCTCTCCACGCCATGGTCGCGGCGGCAACACGGGGGCGGCGTGTGTGGTGGCGACGGTGCTGGGCGCGTGTGACACACAGGAGCGAGTGGAGCGGTTTGCTGATCGCCTTCGCCGCATCATCACGAGCAACCGTGAGTTGGCCGCAGCCTTGCTCAACGCCAACACTGTCCCTGTCGTCTGCGATGTTTCGTCGCGCCTCGGGCCCGTGCCCTCGCTTCGCCGCCTGCTGTGCAGCGTTGTCTCCAACACGGTGTGCGTGGATTTGCTCGCTGCTGGCGACAAGGCGAGCGTGGAGAACGCGTTGGCCGTGCTTGAGACGGTGCTGGGCTGCATTGCAACCTCCCCCCTCAAGCAGGCCGCCCAGTGCACGTTGCATCTTGCGGTCGTGTCGCAGGTTGTGGATGACGTGTGTGCGCCGGCTTTTCTGCCGCGCGCCCGATGGCTGTGCAGCCTGGGGGAGGAGGCGTGCCATGCGCAGCTGCTGGTGCTGGCAAAGGTGTGGGACGCGGTGCTGGAGGTTCTCCTCTTCCACTTCAACCACAAAGCCCGCACGCCGCCCACAACCACTGCAGCAGACAGCACCGCTGCCTCAGACACGGCGTCAATCCAGACAACAACGGGTCATCCCCACGATGCCCTCAACACCAGCCGGCACTCGATGCACAGCGACGTCGCAGCCTACGCTGCCGCCACCACAGCTGCTGTGGATGACGACGGGCACCACCAGGAAGCACTGCGCACGTTTGCGCTGAGCAAGATTGCGCCTCTGAAGCTGCTGCTGCTGCGCGTGTTCGAAACAGACCTTGCTGCAAGCAGGAGTTTGTTTCTGCAGTCTGCAGGGCGCCTGGTCGCCTTCCTTCTCTTCCGCTCCCACGGGCTGGAGGTGCACGAGGCCGTCACCGCGCTGCTGGACAGCGCCCCCCTGCACTTCCTGCAGACCGTGGCTGAGGACGCGCCGGACATTTGTGCGCAGATTGCGTATGGCGTGCATCGCCTGCGACGCGTGTGGTTGCGCCACATCAGCCACGCCACAACGGACCGTGCTGGCGCAAGCAGCAACAGCAACAACAACACCAACAACCCCACCACCACCAACAACAACAACAACGACAACAACACCGCCAACATACATGGTGGCGACGCTGATGACACTTCGGCAGCAGGACACTACCTGTCCCACGATGGTGGTGATTATCGCACGGATGTTGGCAGCGATGTGACGGTGGCCGTGCACGATTTGCTGCGCAGCCGCGCCCGCCTGCAGCACGAGCAAGAGTACGACCACGAGTACGATTTCGAGTTTGATCCGCGTCCTCCCCGCGCTGCCAACAGCGGCGGCAGCAGCAGCAGCGGCGGCGGCGGCGGCGTTGCAGGGGAGGGCGATGCCGGTCAGCACGCCGGGTCATCATCACACCGCAGCGACTTGGAGAGCGAGCGCGCGTCTGGCATCGTGCACGTGGCGGACGGTGACTTGGAGCGATTTTCTGCGTTGACGAGCACGCTCACAGGGGTGTGGAGAGCGCTGGTGCCGCTGAGCAGGCGGAGGTTTGCGCGGTACTTTGATGCGGTGTCCGTGGACGCACCGCACGCTGTGACGTCCGTTGCCTGGCACTCGCCCGCGTTCGCCAACAAGCGGGTCGTGTGCAGGCTGAACGGGATCATGACCGAGCACGCCGGCGTGCACCGGCTGTACATCCGCAAGGAGCACGCGCGACAGGAGAAGGCGAAGAACCAGTACCGCGCCATCCTCAAGCGGGCATCCGACTTTGAGGACAAGGCCATCACGCTGCAGACTGCGGCGTCACGAAACGCCATCCTCGACCTGCGGCGGCGACGGCAGCGGGCAGCGCAGGTGCGAGCTGTGTGGCGCCGGGTGGACGACACGTGCACCGTGCAGCCGTCACCCTGGTACCGCCCCCCACCACGTGCGCTGTGGATGCTGGATGCAACGGAGGACCCTACGCGGCGGCGGCCAAAACTGGCCCACTGCCCCTGGCTACCGGGAAACGCGTTCAGACATGATGACGACCCCGCAACTCGTGGCACTCGGAATGCAAGTGGACAAGACGGGCCTGTTCGTGATGGCAGTGTGAGCGACTTTTCACGCTATGTCAGCGCAGTGCCGTGTCTTCGTGGCAGCGTGGCAGACCAACACGAACACACACGTGCACGCTGCTGCCTGTGCTGCTGCTGTCATGATGAGGGGGACGCGACGCCACATGCATCGAGCGCGGGCGCCATGATAGGTGGTGCAATTGACGCCGCTGGACGAGCGATTGCAGAGGTCATGGATGGTGCTGCGTTTGCTGTCGACGTGACTACTCTCTCGCAACACGCGGCGGCGGCGCTGGTTGTGGACCTCGTGCACATTGCAGTCACGCGCAAGGGCGGCAGCGACATGCTGAGCCACGCGAATGCTGATGCTGATGCTAGACACGCTGCTCGTGGCGGTGCTCGTGACGACAACGATGACGACGAGGGTGCATACTCGCTGCAATCGCTACTTGATGTTGTGAAGGCGCGCGTTGAAGATGCTGAGTTTGTTTCTGCTGTGTTGCGCAGCGCCGTGGCGTGGTTGGAAAGCGACAACCTCCCGCCCATCGAAAACCAACAGCAGCAGGACGACACTGCTGGCGACAGCGCCGCTCACAATCGCGGTGGCAGCAGCAACGATGATGACGGTGATGGTGGCGAGCAAGGTGGTGGAGAGGCAACAGAGCAAGTGTCGTTGCTCGCATATCTCATCTACGCGGGAACGCGCCGCGATTATGCCAGTGGTGGTGGTGGTGCTGATGGTGACGGAGAGCACTCTGATGCGCCAGCTGACAATGATGAGCGCACGCTGGCAGAAGGCGACATGCTCACGGACGCAGTGAGGTGCACACTCGTGTCACCGTTTGCATCGGCAGAGGGTGAGCTGTTGCTTGGACAGCGCAATCTGTACTTCAAAGCGTCGTCACCTGCCAGTCCCGCTGCCGCCGCCATGGCGAGCCTTGGCAGTCACGGTCACGGTAGCCCCGGTGACAACGCAGCAACAAGCGGTGGCCGCAGGAACCGTCGGCGACGGCGCCGCCACCCGCACCAGAACGTGATGATGAGCCTGACGCTGCTAGAATCGCTCAATGAGGACCCGTCCCTGCTGCCCTTCTGGCCGCTGTCGGGCCTGATGGATGTGCAGCCGCGCCGGTACATGCTCAAGCACACGGCCATTGAGGTCTTCTTCGCCGACGGGCGCACGGTCATGTGCGACGTGCATGTGCGGACGAAGCGGGACGCGCTGCTGGCCAAGTTGGCGCGCGTTGCTGCAGAGGCAAACAGCATCCGCTACAGTGCAGGCGCAGTGTCATCAGATGACAAGGCGCGCAGGCCAGGCCGCATCCAACGCAGCAACAGCGCCAACGCCCTGGTGGCAGGACGACGACAGGGGCGTGCGTTGCACGTGCACCAGCGGCCCCGCACATTCACATCCCCGTCAGACGCAGCACGGCACCACCAGCAGTCGCTGCAGGCAACGGGTGTGGATGAGAACAAGTTGATGGCGGGGCGCTCGCGGTCCCGCCCATCGCTGCTGACGTCTCCACAGAGCAGCGAGGGAGGAGGGAACAAGGGCACGCGGCGCACCAGCTGGCACGTGGCATTTCTGCGGCGGCTCAGCGGCAAGTTTGGTGCCGGCGACGCTGACGCTCACAGCGATGACGACTTTGATGAGTCGGACACCACCAGCCGGGTATCGGCGGATGCCGGCAGTGCGACAGGCAGCCTGTTTGGGCGGCGCAAGCTGAGCGACCAGGAGGACACCGTGGGCACGGCCACCTCGCTTGCATCGTCAACGACAACAGATGCGGGCGCGGTCAATGCAGACGACGCGTGGACGCTGAGTGATAAGGGCAACCCGTCCCTGCATGAGTCGCGGAGCAAGGCGCGCATTCGTCAGTTCTTCACGTCCGTGTCGACGGCGATGCAAGGCCGCCCCGTTGTTGCACTTGGCAGCGCCGACGAGATGAACGCCGTGCACACGCTCCTGCACCGGTGGCGGGAGGGCAGCATCACCAACTTTGAGTACATCATGTCGCTCAACACGCTTGCTGGTCGCACCTTCAACGACCTTGGGCAGTACCCTGTGTTTCCCCACGTCATTGCCGACTACGAATCCTCGCACCTCGATCTCACCCGCACAGAGACCTTCAGGGACCTCAGGTGGGTGTCTCGTGTGTGTGTGTGTGTATTCGTGTGCGTGTGTCTGTGTGTGTGTGTGCATTCGTATGTGTGTGTGTGCATGTGTCTGTGAATGTTTGCGAATGAGTCTGTTTGTCTGCTGTATTTGTGTTTCTGTGCGAGTATGCCGTTTGGCTTCGTGCTCTTCGCCTGGACCGCGCCATATTCCCATTGACCGAGATGATCTTATGCTGCCTGTTTCGTGTGCGCGTGCGGTTGATAGCAAACCCATCGGCGCCTTGGACGAGCGGCGCGTGGAGAAGGTCAAGGACCAGTACCAGGACCAGAAGTTCGAATACAACAGTAAGTGTTCGCCCTTGTGTTTTGTGGTTGTGTTGGGAAGTGGTGTGTGAAGTGCTGGAGATGGAGAATGGGATGTCCATTTTTTTTCTTGCCAGTGGATGCTCACATGTGGTTTTTTTTTGTTTGTTTTTCCAATGGTTGTAGTGCTGCGACAACAGCATGCGGACGAAGTGCTGGATGCGACGCAGTTCCCATTCATGCACGGAACACATTACTCCTCTGCTGGCGCCGTCATGTACTATCTCTCGAGGTGAGGAGAGGCATGGGTGTGGTTGATGTGGATATACTTTTGCACACATGCGCATGCGCATGCACATGTGCGTACATGAACGCACTTTGTTTGTGCTCCGTTGAGCTTGCGTCGGGATGGCGTGAACATGCACCCGAACCATGCACTCCAGCTTTATTGTGCGCACTCTCGCGAGCGTGAACACACGCATGAACACTAACTCGCACGCAAACGCACCCGAAAACCCCCTCACGCACTCAACCCCTCACGCACTCACTCACTCACTCACTCACTCACTCACTCACTCACTCACTCACTCACTCACTCACTCACTCACTCACTCACTCACTCACTCACTCACTCACTCACTCACTCACTCACTCACTCACTCACTCACTCACTCACACACTCACTCACACTCACTCACTCACAATCAGGCTTGAGCCGTTTTCGCAACTGGCCAAGGACCTGCAGGGCGGGCGGTTTGATGTGGCTGACCGGCTGTTCAGCAGCGTGCAGCAGGCGTGGGCCATCGCCTCCGGTCCCAGCGCGGATGTCAAGGAGCTCATCCCAGAGTTCTTCTACTTGCCCGAGTTTCTGGTGAATGTCAACGGGTACGACATGGGGACGCGGCAGAACACGGCGGACGTGGGCGACGTGGAGCTGCCGCCTTGGGCAAACAACAGCCCGCGCGTGTTTGTGCGCACGCTGGCAGCAGCCCTGGAGAGCGAGCACGTGAGCGCGCACCTGCACGAGTGGATTGACCTTGTGTTTGGCTTCAAGCAGCAAGGCGAGGCGGCGGAGGCCGCGGTGAACGTGTTCCACCCCTTCTGCTACGAGGGCGAGCTTGTTGAGTCACGACTCGGGGACGCGGTGCAGCGCGACGCCGTCACGTCATTCATCCGCCACTTTGGGCAGACGCCGGCACAGCTCTTCTCCAAGCCGCACCCACCCCGGTTTGCCCAGGCCCTGACGCCCACCACACACCCGCTGCTGCAGCCGCCGCCCCAACAGCCGCGAGCACCAACAACGTCGACACAGACGCGCTCCACGTCAACCACGAGCCGCTCCACGGAGAGCACGTCAAGCGCGAGCACGCCCGCAGCATCGTTGGTGTTTGCATCAGGTTCGGCGGGTGGTGCTGGGTTGGGTGCGGTGCGATGGCGCATTGTGGAGATGCCGGCGGACGCAGAGGCGCAGCGGCTGCTGATCACATTGCACCACATGCAGCAGCAACAACAGCAGCAACAACCGGAGCATGGACACGAGGGTAGGGGTGTGGACGGGAGTCGAGGGATGAGGAATGAGAAGCGCGGTGGCGCCGGTGCAGTGCTGCGAGCCATGCTGGACCAGACACCAGCGCCCGTCGTGAGCGAATGGGATGCGAGCGGGGACACCAACTCCGATGCAGGAGGTGTTGGTGGTGGCGGCAGCACCAACAGCAGTGTTGTGTGCGTCACGGAGAGCACGCGTGTGTTTCCGTCGCCCCACGACGCGAGCGCTGACCAGTCGCTCACATACGGTCGCCAGCAACGCGCAAGCGGCAGCATGTATCCACACGTCGGAAGCAAGCCCAGCAGCACAAGCAACAGCAGCAACCGCGGCGGCAGTGCTGGCGATGGTGATGATGATGACGGTGGTGATGGCCCACTGAGCGTGTGCATTGACGCGCGGCGCGGGTTCTCGCTCAAGTGGAACTGCTGGGACGATGCGCTGCTGCTGGTGAACGACGCGACGCATGGCGTCGAGGCAACCCTCCCGCACAACTCGGGCGGCAGGATGACATGCATGGGCGTGTGCCCGTCCCTGAGTTGTGCCGTTGCTGGGTACAGCAGCGGCGTGGTTCGCTTTGTTGGGTTTGACACGGCTGTGGCAGACGGGGGCGTGATGGGCGCATGGCGGAGGGCACCGCAACTGTGGCGCGTGAGCGACGCCCTTGCCCACGCCGGCGCAGTGACAAGCGTGGTGTGCAACAGCGCGCTCAGTTTTGCGGTGACGGCGAGCGAGGACTGCACGGCGCAGCTGTGGGACCTGAGCAAGAAGCGGCTCGTGCGAACGCTGGCGCACAGGGAGGCGGTGCGGCATTGCGCAACGAGCGGGACCACTGGAGACGTGGTGACTGTCACAGCCGGCGCTGCGTGGCGCGTGCACCTATGGTCTGTCAACGGGCAGTTTGTTGGCGAATGGGCGCTGCCGGCTGGGGTGGCGGTGACGTGCGTGGCCATGACGGCGTACCCAATGGGCTGCACCTCCAACGCCGTGCTGGTCGGCCGCAGCGACGGCGCCGTCAGCATCCTCAGCATGCTCGACCTCAGCCATGGTGTGTGTTTGTATGTGTGTGTGTGTGTGTGTGTGTGTGCGTGCGTGTCTGTGTGTGTGTGTGTGTGTGCGTGCGTGTCTGTGTGCGTGTGTCTGTGTGCGTGTGTGTCTGTGTGCGTGTGTCTGTGTGCGTGTGTGCACTTGTTCCCCCATACTTCCTCATGCTTGCCTTATGCTTGCTTTTGCTACTGGATGCAGTGCGAGATTTGTGGACGCAGCACGCAGCGAGCGTGACGAGGATGAGACTCACATCGCACTCCATCATCACCGACTTCGAAGGTGCGCATATGTGTGTGTGTGCATTTGTTGCAACCAGTGACTCTGTGGCTGGGTTTCGTTGTGTGCTCACATATGTGGCGGCGTTGTGACTCTGGTGTGATGTGTCCTGCAGATGGCGCTGTTGTGCAGTGGTGGCGTGAGGCATCGAATCACTCGGAGCCAGACTCCTCAGAGGCGTGAAGGAGGAAGAAAGCGACAGCGAATGTGTTTGTGTGTTTTGTGTGTGTGTGTGTGTGTGTGTGTGTGTATTTGCTCTGTCGAAAAAGGAGGTACGTACACAGTTCGCTTCATGTTCATTTACTTCACGTTCACTCGCTTCATGTTCATTTGCTTATTGCTGAGACTTGAGCAGAGCAACCATAAACGGCACATTAACCACCAGAGCCATTCTTCACTGACCGTTGCACGCACATGAAGAAGCAACACATTGCGTATGCCGGGAAACCCCATTGGCAAAGGCGCCGTGTTACCGGCAGAGGCGGGAGAGAAAGAAGGTCACACAGCAATAGATACAGAGATACACACGGCTGAATGAAACTAGCTGGAGCAGCTGAAAAAAGCGAGGGTTAAACGGTGCAGCGCAAAGGCACAACGATAGGAGACCTGACAGTGGTGCTGCGTGTGTGCTGGCGATGTTGCTACATTCCTAGTGTGCGCTGCGGCCACAGACAACCGTCGTCGCTGCGAGTGCTTATAACTGCTGACGCGCTCGTTTTGTGTGTGTGTGTGTGTGTGTGTGTGTGTGTGTGTGTGTGTGTGTGTGTGTGTGTGTGTGTGTGTGTGTGGTTATGTGCTCCTGGTTTCGAGAACGGTGGGGGGGGGGCTGCTGAGCTGACTGAGCGTAGGTTTGCGGCTTGCTGTGTGGCTGGGCAGCCATGCACGTGTGTGCGATGATGAGCGTGTCCGCTTTCATTCACCTTCTTCTTCCGGTGCTTGTCGGCTCAGCGCCTCCACCTTGCCAATGTGCCAGAGGTGGATTTCTCGCGAGAGGCGCAGGGTGGGCTTGACGCAGAAGAAGAACGACCCCACGATGAACAGCCAGACTCCCGGGATCTGGTACTTGCTCCACAGGAAGAGGATGGAGCCAACGAGGAAGGACATTGCGGCGGCAAAGTCCACTGCCGTGTGCGCAATTTCATACAGCGCATGCACGCGCCGCGTCCGAGCGCTGCGCCGGTGGTCATAAGCCTCCAACGGCATTGGCGTTGTCTGTCTGTTCTGTGTGTCTGTCTGCGTGTTTGTGTGCCTGTCTGTCTGTCTGTGTGTCCTTGTGTCATGTCAGTCATCACATCACACGTCATTGTCGTCAGCAGAGGTGCGACTGGACCACTTCTTTTGGTGTTGCGAACTGGTGGTGGCGGCTTGCATGCATGCATGCATCGCAGTCGTGACCCTGGTCACGAAAGTCCAGGGGTGACGGAGGCTCGTGGAGCATCTTTGGCTGGCGTTCACTGGCAACAGCCTGCGTGCGTGTTGACGCACGGCAACGACTACGAGACCCCCCCCCCCACGAACTTGAGTGTGCTCGTTTGCGTTGGGAACCGTTCATACACACGCGCGCATTCACACAGCATCGTCGCAAGCGACACTGGTCTCTTCTCTTCCTCTCTTCTCACCATGCACACCTCCACTGCACTCGCGGTTCTGGTGGCGCTTGCCACGATTACCGTGCTGCCTCTATCAGCTTATGCGGTGCGTGTGAGTGTGGGTGCGTGTGCGTTGCGTGTGTGTGTATGTGTGTGTGTGTGTATCTGTGTCTGTGTGTCTGTGTCTGTGTGTGCATGTGTGTGCGAACATGTCTCTCTCTCTCTCTCTCTCTCTCTCTCTCTCTCTCGCTCTCTCTCTCTCTCTCGCTCTCTCTCTCTCTCGCTCTCTCTCTCTCCTCTCTGTGTCTGTGAGAAAGAGAGTTGCGTGTCATGTTGTTGATCATGAAGAGATGAAGGCCCAACCAACAGAACAACTCTGCTCTCCTCAAAACGAGTCTCTCCAACACGCTCACGCAACACGCGCGCACTTGCAGGAACCAGCGCTTGGGGATGAGCTGACTGCCGCGGAGTTCTTCGCTGAAACGGTGAGAACAACGCAAACACCGAGCGTTCACATGCGTATGCCTGGCAAATTGTACATGTGTGAAGCACACCGGGATTGCCTGGACTGCCCATGATTCAGTTTCGTGACGCGCGCGATTGTTCTCTCTCCTCCACCGACAGGGCCTTGCCGAGTGCGCTGATCTCACTGAGGCTGAGACTGGGTACTTCTTTGAAAGCGGCCACGAAACTGGCATTTCTCGCTCACGCTGCACGCTCGGCGGCTCTTGCCAATGTGAACAACTGGACACCTGCGACAGTGGCGGTGCGCAGTCCTCGATGTGCTTGTGGGGCTTGTGGAGAAGGACAGAGACACATGAGATGTGTGTGCGTGTGCGTGCGCGCGTTTTGTGTGTGTGTGTGTGTGTGCGTGCGTTTTGTGTGTGTGTGTGTGTGTGTGTGTGTGTGTGTGTGTGTGTGTGTGCTAAACAATGTAGTGAGTGCTCGCCAAGATTTCCTGGCTTTGTCAACCACCTCCTTCTGAAGACACCAGCCTGCTGCGAACTCCTTCGGTTCCCCTTTCAACAGACTGCTTCAAGGTGTATCGCTGCAACGCCACAGAATCGGATGGCTGCTTTGCCGTGGCCAACTGCACGCGTGCTCGCTTTGACACCGCGATGGAGGTGTGTGTGTGTGTGTGTGTGTGTGTGTGTGTGTGTACAAATTGCTTTGTATTGGGACACACGTCATGAGCCCTTCTGCCTGTGTTGTTGGCTTGCCCCTGCGTGAACTCCAGAACTGAAGCTGCCCACGATCTGTGCGGTTCCAACCGCCAAGGTTTACCCTCACACACACACACACACACACACACCGCACGATAACATACACGCACACACGCACACACACACACACACACACCGCACGATCACATACACACACACGTCAGGTTACTGTTGACTGTAACCGCGGTTTGCCACTTGATGAGCGTGGCGATGAGGATCTCGATTTCTTTGCCATGCGCTGGAAACAAGCGCTCGAACAAGACTGCGGGATCAGCGGCCGCGTACGTTGTGTGAGCGTGTTGTGTTTGCGTGTATGTACTCTGTCATGCAGCAGCTCCCAGCTGCAACAGCTGTGGGCAAGGTTGTTGCTTACATTTTCCAATCTGCTTTCCCCACCCCGCACGCAACGTATGCACACGTACCACAAACATACGCGCACCTACATACACACGTGTACAGCTGTGCCGGTACTATGGTGACACGGCTGACTCCATTCACGTAATCAATGGCACGACGTTCCGTACCACAACCCTCAACTCCGCCCACGTTGAAGATCTTGCCGTGTGTGCCGCCACTGCCAACTTCCGCTTCAACCGCTGTACCGTCGTCTCCGTGGTGGAGGTGCCAGTAACCACAACCACTACCACAACGACCACAACTACAACCACTACCACTACTACTACCACAACCACAACCACCACTACCACAACCACTACAACAACTACAACCACAACAACAACTACAACTACAACTACAACGCTCCCAGCATGTAGCTACGGATGTGAGGAGAGTGTCGAAGCTTGTATTGGCAAGGTGCGCAGTATCTATCCTCCATCCTGGCTTGAGCGTGTTGTTCAGCGTGCTTGCCCTCTACATCCACACGCCCCCTCCCTCCAGCTTCCCGTTGCTGCAATGGAGAGCCCATCGCAGTTTACCACTCCCTTCCCTTGCTCTGTATCGATAACATCATCCACCCCCACAACAACAACAACAACAACAACAACAACAACAACACACACAACCTTGTGTAGGCCATGTTCTCCCCGAACAACGTGCGCGAGGCATTTGTGGACTGCATGGCACAAGTTTCGCATCATACCGACAGTGCATTTGTCTCGTTCGGCATCTGCCTCGCTGACTGTGGTGACATTGACGCAAACACGACGCGCGACGAGGCTGGACCCATCCTCTTCTGCTAGTACGTACCTCAACATTTGATAGCGGTTCATTGAAGTGTGCGGGCGTGGATGTGGACGTGTGGTCTTGTCTGCATGGATGAATCAGATGACACTGTTTCACGAAGCCTTGTCGACACTCACGCCTTTCTCTTTTCACAACAACAACAACAACAACAACAACAACAACAACAACAACAACAACAACAACCAGCCGGATGTGTGCCTTCAACACGGCTGACATGGATTGCGATGTCCTGTACACGTCGAGCACCGTTTCAACAACGACGACAGCATGCTTGTCTGCTACGCCAGTGGGCTCTGCAGCAAGTGGTGGTTATTATTGGACAGACGTGGTGTTTGCTGAGAACGGCATTGGCTACGCCTGTCCTGGCTTTGCCACTTCGGTCATGACCATCGATCCCACAGACAACAGCGTCAACGAGACAGTCGCGGACGTGTCTGCGTACGGCACGGAGCTCAAGTGGGGTGGCGGCGTCTACGCAAATGGGTCCGTGTATTGCATCCCGTACGACTATGAAACCGCAGTTCTTGTGATTGACACGAGCGACAACAGCATCAGCACCATCCCCGTGACGAACAACTGCACCGCGTCGTGCTGGTGGGGTGGCGCGCTGGCCTCCAACGGAAAGATCTACGCTGCCCCGCAAGGCGCGCTCGAGCTTCTCATCATCGACACGGCCACGAACACCGCCGACGCGACCATTGACGCCGCGAGCCTCGCTCCCGGCGCCCCATACAGGTGGACTGGCGGCGTGACAGCGTTCGACGGCCGCATCTTCATGGCACCGTGGAACAGCAAGAAGATCCTCGTGGTCAACCCTGACACGGACTCCCTTTCCACGATTGACATTCCTGATGTCGGGAGCGCGTTTGCCGACTTCGTCATGGGCCCGAGCGGCCGGCTGTTTGGCATCCCCGCCACTGCAACGTTCATCCTCATTGTTGACCCTGTCGTGGACAGCCTCGACAGCACCAGCATCACCGGCCTCCCCTCTGGCAACTACAAGTGGTACGGTGCTGGCATCGGCTCGGATGGCCTCCTTTACTTCACGCCAAATTCCGCAACAACCATCCTCATTGTGAATCCTGACACCCTCAGCCTGACGTCCCGTGCCTCCCCCGTCAATGAATGCAACGGCGCTGATGTTTCCGAGGCGGGTGCCATTTACTGCACTCCTGGTACCGACGACGCCTTCTTGGTCATTGATCCCTCCATGTGTGCCGCGTGAGAGCTAGACGCTGGGGGGGGGAGGCTTGGGAAGGCAGCAAGTTGTGAAGGGGGAAGAGCGTGCTCCCGTGGACTGTCACTCTTGGTCGTTGCTTGCTTTGATTATCCGTGTGTTGTTGGACACTTGGGGTGTGCTTCGGCCGTATGGTGTGCCTGCTGCCGACTGTCTTTCTCGATTCCCTCTTTCTTGTCCCTTTCACTGCCTGTCTTGCAGATCTTGTTGTTGTTACACCTTTGTCTGTTGCTCGATGTTCTCTTGTTCCCGCTTTGTTTTCTGTTGTGTCTTTTGCGTGACTCGTCTTTTCAGTTTCACGTCATGCCCTCCTTTCGTGCATTCGTTGTTCGTGCATGTCGCCCCTTGCAAGCATTAAGCATCTCAATGATAAAGACAGAGAGTGTATGTGTGTGTGTGTGTGTGTGTGTGTGTGTGTGTGTGTGTGTGTGTGTGTGTGTGTGTGTGCGGTGTTGCTTGCATGCACCTTTCGTGATGACGTCACATCCTTTTCGCTCTACGACATCAAAAAGCGCATTTTCGCAACTCCACGCAATCTTCTGTCTGTGCTCCGACGACCGCAACTACCAAACCAAACCAGCCAGCCACGATGTCTGACCCAGCTGCCGAGATCTCTGTGAAGCCAGCTTCGGACCAGAAGAACATGAAGCCCTGCTGCGCGTGCCCCGAGACCAAGAAGCCCCGCGACAAGTGGTGGGTTCGTTGTGTGTGTGTGTGTGTGTGTGTGTGTGTGTGTGTGTGTGTGTGTGTGTGTGTGTGTGGACGGGGCTGGGTGTTGCTGAAAGAGGTGTACTGTCGCTGTGTTCAACACACATGCACACATGCACACACAGACACAGGCACAGGCACATACACTCACTCTCTCCATCTATCTGTCTACCTGTCTCCCCTCTTTGGCTCACATACACATACATTGACGCGCACACACTCTGACGCACACACACTCTCGCCGTGTCTCACGTTGTATTCTCTGTTCTATGCAGCATTATGGAGTATGGTGAGGAGAACTGCTACCATCTCATCGCTGCACACAAGGTACTGGCATTGTGCATGTGTGTGTGTGTGTGTGTGTGTGTGTGTGTGTGTGGTTCTGTCTGTTGTCTGCATGTAGCTGTAGTTGCGTATTCGTGTCGGTCTGTTTCTGCTGTTCCGCCTCGTTGAACCCGCACACACCCGACCTCCCATTCGCGTGCATCCAACGGCTACTGCTCTGTTGCCCTTCGCATGCGTTCGTGTGCCCTGCACACTTCCCTTCCTCAACCCCTGTCCCCTCTTCTCACTCACTCTCACTCACTCTCACTCACTCTCACTCACACTCACTCACTCACTCACACTCACATACACGCACACACGCCCTCTCATTCTGTTGTTGTGCATCAGGCTTGCATGCAAGCGTTGGGATTCAAGATCTGAGACACCAACCTGCTGTCCCTCTGTACCTAGGCAAGACGCGTGCCACCAGCGCATCGTGTGCTGGTGGCATGCATGGTTGCAAAGTGTGTATTATGTGTGTGTGAGTGAAAGCGTTCGTGCGAGACTTGTCACTGCGAGCGTGTTGCGGACTATCGATGTGAAGTGACAGACTGCCAAACAGTAAAACAGCCCTTAAGTTGGCAGACGAACAAGCGCACACTGCGTGTGCGTGTGAGAGACAAGGAGGGGGGAGGGGTTGGAAGCGGCTCAGTCGTGGTGCACGCCAAGCGAACGAGTCAAGCAAGCCAGAGGAGGAGGAGGAGAGGAGAGATTCCGCACTCCCGCCATCATCATCAGTGCCTTTTTGATCTGTTGGTCGTGTTTTCCACAACCGCCATTGCCAGCCAGCCAGCCCACAACATGTCGTTGCCTGCAGCGAGCACTGGCGCTTCAAGCAGCAGCAGCAGTGGTGGTGGCGGCGGGCAGAGGGGAGCTGGTGGTGTCTTGAGCGATGAGTGGGATGTCAAGAACCCACTCCGATGCACAGTGGGCGTGGAAGAGGTTGGTGACACGTGTGTGTGTGTGTGTGTGTGTGTGTGTGTGTGTGTGTGTGTGTGTGTGTGTGTGTGTGTGTGTGTG